AATTTCTCTTACATAAACAGAAGATTCTGATTTTCACAACCTTGTGAATGACGAACCAGAAGTTGAAATGTTAGTCCAACTGCATGCCCTCCTTTAAAAAATCATAACTGCCCATCCTGAGCAGGTAGTAACTTGACACTTGCACACCCTATATAAGACGCTTGATGCTACACATCATAAAAATATAATTCAAATCGGACTAGATTTGGAGTTTTGGCCACTTTTTCACTTACAGGAAGAAATAGAGCAAGTTCGCGCAACTGCACACCCGCTTTAAAAAATTCTTAACTTTCAATCCAGGGCAGGCAGCAACTGGAAATTCACACACCTTTTAGAAGACCCCTTGCCCTTACAACGCTCACAATTTCTCTTCAATCAACACAAGATTTTCATTTTCGCAACCTTGTGAATGATGGACCAGAAATTGAAATGTTAGTCCAACTGCATGCCCTCCTTTAAAAAATCATAAGTGCCAATCCTGAGCAGGTAGTAACTTGAAACGTGTACACGCTATACCAGATGCTTGATGCTGCACATCGTAAAAATATCATTAAAATCGGACTAGATTTGGAGTTTTGGCCACTTTTTCACTTACAGGAAGAAATAGAGCAAGTTCACGCAACTGCACACCCGCTTTCAAAAATTCTTAACTTTCAATCTAGGGCAGGCAGTAACTGGAAATTCACACACCTTCTATACGACACTTTGAGCTTAAAAGGCTCAAAATTTCTCTTTCATCATATAAGATCCTGATGTTTTACAACATTGTGAATGACGGACCAAAAATTAACAATTTTGACCAAATGCCTGCCCGACTTTAAAAAATCATTACGTCCAATCCAGAGCCAATAGTAACTGGAAACTTGCACACCCTATACAGGAGACTTGATGCTAAAAATGCAGCATAAAAATTTCATTTAGATCCGGCCAGATTTAGATATTTGGCAACCGTGCGACTTATATAAAATAGGCTAAAAATTAGCATGTTTCCTCAATTGCACGCCCACTTTAAAAAAATCATATCTTCCAATCCAACGCGGGTCGCAGCAGGAAATTCACACATCTTATACAAGAGGCTGTGCCCTTAAATAGCTCATAATTTCACTTAAATCACCCAAGAGCCCGATTTTATTAACTCGGTTTTTAAACAGGGAGGGTTCCTACAATGTTCCGTTGCTACCCTCACTGAGGAGCACCCTGTATATTGAAATACTCTCCATTTTTCCATCCATTGCATGACTGAGACAAGAACTAATGGAAACCCCAATCAAAGCTTGTGTTTCTCAATGTTTCCCATGAAAGCAAGGTTCCACAGCAATTTCTCCATCATTAGCTGAAAAATCGTGTCTCCTACTCGATCGCTTTACTTATTCACCAAGCCCTTGAATAATGACGGACAATCACAGCAATTTCCCTTTGACTATTTAAGTAGGTGACTGATTAAGCTGTTCGCTCGCCTACATGTAGAGGAACGGCTGAAAACCGTCCAATTTGGATCAGCAATGTCAGCTACAAGGACCAATGCAACCGTTCCATGGCTCTACAATATCACTGTAGAGGACAGCAACTGGATCATCACCAGTGCTTTTATGATTTTTACTATGCAAACAGGTGAGTGATGGAACGCTGGAGGTCGTCTTGTCACTCTTCAAGTAGGCTCAACAAACCACTTGCACTTTGCAGGATTTGGCATGCTGGAATCTGGATGCGTTTCAATCAAAAACGAAGTTAACATCATGATGAAAAATGTCGTCGATATTGTACTGGGAGGTAAGCAGTACCATCAGGTGCTCGAGACCGTTTCTACATGGCCTTTGCAGGATTAACATACTGGATATTCGGCTTTGCCGTGTCCTTTGGCAGGAGCGAATTCAACAACGGATTTATTGCCTTGGGCGATTTTTGCATCGACCCGTCTGCGGATAATCCCCTGAAGGGTGCCATTTTTGCTGCATTTCTGTTCCAGCTTTCCTTCGCCACCACTGCTACTACCATTGTGAGCGGCGCTATGGCTGAACGGTGCAACTTCAAGGCTTATTGCATGTTCAGGTAACGCTTCAAAATTACTCTAAATGAACTAAATCTGCCCAGTGTGGAGGCCAGAACCGTTCACTTAAAGCACTGGATCTTCAAAAGTATCTTACGAGGCTTCAAAAAATCATAACTGCCAATCCCGAGCAGGTAGTAACTTGAAACTTGCACACGCTATACAAGATGCTTGATGCTGCACATCATAAAA